CCCCCGAATCTTCTCCAGTACCTCGACACCCCCGTCTTTTAAACGCAACTAACTGTGCTCACATCACGCGTCATTCGCCACAATTACCGATCGGCACGTTTTGCTAAGTAAATATTATGATTATGATTATTATTATTATTGTATCGATGGTTCCTCATCAATTATGGAATATACGAATCCCGATTTGTAAAATTCGACTTAACTAAGAAGATGTGTAATAACTTAATCATCGTATCGTTCATGCGTGGCTTGCTGCCCCCCGGCAGTCTAACTACCGTCGTATGCTTGAATATGGAGACAACGTGCGCGCCTCCGAGAGAGAGAGAGAGAGAGAAAGAAAGAAAGAGTGTGCGTGTTCCGATGTACGCTAGTGTGCGAACGTGCACGAATATTTGTGTCTATTATCTTTCCCGCCCATCTGTGCGTCTTGTTCAATTTGTACGTTCCCTTTCCTCTTGTCGTCGTCAATCGGATTTCGGATTGAGCCACGAGAGAGGGGAAAGACAACTTGAAAAAGGCACAAAGAAGACGGGAGTTGAACGAATGGCCGAATGAATGTCAGGTGGATTGTGCAAGACTGAGAGAGGCAGCGGAGGGAGCTCGCCAATCAATTCCGTGGTCGCTCCCTCGCCGCTCATTTTTACGTCATAAATATTAATTATGATTATCCATAAAGGATAAACGCATCCAACAAAACATGATTACGTTACGTTTTATAATAGTCATGTTCCTTTCCGATCGATAATAATTGATAAATAATAAATCTATATCAACCTTGCTACATTATTTTGTACTTGTTTTTTTAAAATATTTCTTAATTTTTTAATCTTAATATATATACTATATATAAAAATCTATAAATAATGCCGTTTTTAAGTTATCAGACGTATTATTATTATCATTATTATTATTAATTATTATTTTTGTATAAATGTGTGATTAATAGTACGGATAGTGTAATAATTTTGTATGTTTATTGAACCAAAAATAAATATTATTGATAAAGAAAGACGATTGTGCCTGAACAAATTGTCTATATTTTCCGTTTCAATCTTCATCATCGGTCGCAGCAATGGCTTTCTCGGACATCGGTTGCGGTTGTTGCGTCACACGTAAACCTTTCGGCCCGATGCTGCTCAACACGACCGGCAGTAAGATCAGCCCGTGCCAGAGCCCAAACAAAATTACTAGGAAGAATATCCGGAAAAAGGCGACGAACACGTAGGACGACGAGAAGGCCAGCAATGAGACGGCGAGGAATGTCGAGCCCGCGCCATACGCAACCGCTGCGCCGATGTGCCTGACCGCGATCATTGTCCGGATCCTGCGAGGATCATCGTCATTCTCTCGCGACTCGGCGTTCAGGAAAGCGTGTGCGATGTGTGCGGCGTAATCCACACTCAAACCGACGGCCAACTCAAGACCTGTAAAAGATTCTTAACTCATTCGAACGAAACTGATGAACGAAACCAAGAAGCTCGCTAAACGATGCTAAAAGAAAATCTCGCGTTAATGCAACGAGAACAACTCGTACTGTGTGTATATTATGTGTAATCTAAAAATATATTATAATATACTATAATGAAATGACATTTAGATTTTGAATCTTACGAAGAATAAGAGAATTAAAAATAAAACTTGAGTTTGCTCTCGGATTCATACTTCGTACGTGATCTCGAAACCCGATATTCTTGTAATATACTTTTTTATACTCAATTCTTATAAACAGCAGGAAACCAGTACCGCGGTGATAAAAACATTTTTCATAATGGATTAGACTAACAAAAAATTACTTGGAATTTTATAAAATTAAGATAATATTACGATTTATTATTGCAAGTTAGAATTTCATTAAAAATTCTTTTAGCCAATATCTTTCCTTCCTATATATGTACAAGTGTACACTCGCTCACTAAAAGGTTGCGACACTTTTTTTTGTAGGTTTCTAATTTATATTTAATATACGTAATATATACTTTATAGATAACTAATATTTTGCAAATGCAAACCACGATGTACTATCTTTAGTCTAGAGACAGTATAACACCAATCGTGGTCCGCATTTGCAAAATATTAGTGCGTTTTCAAACCTATAAAAAAGAAAGTGTCGCAACCTTTTAGTGAGCGAGTGTACATATATGAATAGATATCAGCTGCATATTCACGCTTATTGCGTTTATTGTATTCATCATCATGGAATCATTTTGTCCTCGCTGCTCAAATCAAATGTTGAACAGGACAAATCATCGCACCGCAAACGGAACGCAGCCTTTACCTTTTGCTTAAGCAATATAATAAAACAACAACGAAAAACGAAGAAAAATTAAAAAAACGTGAAATGTACTCACCAATGCAGGACGTAATGTCTATTGTTAGGTCCCAGAAATACATGAAGCCGCAAACATTTAGCAGCGTGAGAAGTACACAGAGTAAGATCCAAAAACAAGTCTGCACTTCGGCGATGAGAAACGCCGTAGTCCCCATAACGCAGACTAATGCCAGGATAATGTTTCGGAACAGCTCTTGACTGATTAGTTTATCGGTAGTCCAAAGTCCAAACATTTTGCACCACACCGTAACGAATCCGTGAATTTGTACTTCATTCGTTAGGAGTTTACTATTATCCATCGCTGGAATCCATTCGTGAGGGCCCGCAAATTGTCTAAATTTGAACTCAATAGTTGATGCTACAATTCGTGGGATATTCCTACCGCACCTGAACTTCTCTTTGAAAGAGAAATTTCTCTGATATTTGCCGCCAGCTCGACTAAAAAGAAATTGCGACAGATAATGATCGAATTTGTCGTCTGAGATCTTCGTAGTCTTTAAATCTGATAAAAAAAACATTCAATTAATTTAAAAAATTACTTAATCGCCGAATGATCTGTTTGTCTCAAAAACTTTGCATAAAATATATTCTTCTATAAATTGAGGTAAATTTTGGATATGAATTAATTAAAAATTTTAGAAATGTCTTTTCAGAAATAAATTAAAATTTTTTGTTTCACCGTTTTTAAGACAAACGATTTAAACAAATATTATGATATATAACCTGTAGCATAATACATCGATACGAATTTTGCGAAGTCAATCGGCCAAGGTTCTAGGCTTAGTATGAAAGACGCGTTCTGTAAGCGTTCTGTCATAGATATTATTTTAGAAAATTCAGAAGAGTAATCAATATCATCTCCCATAACAACAAAGGCTTCAAATCCTTGATTAGAAAATCCTTCATTTCGGACAGTTATATATTGGTACAAATACGAATCCTTTGGTAATAACCACTTTGGATCAAACCATTGTTGCAGTTGAAGTAAACCGACGATACTTGTAGACATCGTTACAAGAGTAATTAATACTATAATAATTTTCCCTGGTGTAGTCAATATTATTCGTGAATACAAGAAGTTTATCAATTTCCAGGAAAATGCACTGCTCACGTCTAATGACTTGGGCGTAAAATTTTCATGTACGATACATGGTAATGTACCATTTCTCTTCTGTTCTATTCTTCTAGCATCCAAAGTAAAGCAGGCAATAAAAAATGTAATTTGTAATAAAAATGTCACAAACACTCCCATTGCGGCGTAGATACAAAACGACTGAAGTGACGGTAATATCTAGAAAAAGACATCGTACACATTATAACGATGATATCTTTAGACTATTCTAATTATTTCTATGCCAAGAATGCGTAACATAGATTGAATAATCTACAATTTTAGATGCTAAAATTAATTTATTTGGTTCAAATATATCGATAATATATTTTTTTTCGTAGAAATAAGCAGAAAAAAGAATAGTAAATATTATATGTAAAAATCAAATGTTCCTAAAAAGATATACTCTCATAAAAAAAAAGTTACAAAAAAGTAGTTATATTAAGTAAAGTAATTACATTACTTAATTGAAAACAATATTCAAAAATATTTGAGTAAAGATAAACAAAAATAATTTAAATAAAATCGTTAATTGGCCACAATAGTTATCTTTTTGCGTATTAATTCTATACATACTGTAGAAGCACCAATGACGAATGCCACAACATCGGTAAGTGAAGTAATACTGATAGCAGAACCGGCATGACCTAACGTAAGCCCGATTCTTTCTGTTAGTGGCTTATTTAAGTTTGATTCATCAACATGTATCTTCTTCCAAGATGCATTAATTACAAAAATATCGTCTATCCCTAGACCCAAGAGCAAAAATGGCAACGATGTGTGCACAGGACCGTATGGGATTCCGATTAAAGAGCATACGCCCACCGCAAGTATAAACGCAGCACCCACGCACAAAAGACCGGTGCTAGTAAGACAAAACTGCAAAAAGATGAATAACTTTCACTAAATATATAAGTACCAAAATTGTTACACAAAAATTGTTACTCTGGTAAAAATCATACGTACCCGCCATTCTACCCAATTATAATTCGACAAAATTGTCAAAACATATAAAAACATTAAAAAAATTCCTATCATTAATATATCTATATCTTGAAATATGGTTGTGCCGGAAATATCTCCATAACTTCTGCCAGCAAAATAATAAAGCATCAAGGAATTATTTGTATTTCTCTCGCTTTGCAGTTGATACGAAAGATTTTTCATATTTTCCAGATAAGCTGATTCCCATTTCATTACTTCGTCTGTTGCCTAGATATAATATATGTATACAATTGACTTTTACTTTACGTTAATTTATAATTGTTCATGTTATATTAATTAAATTTAATGTTATGGACTAAAATATTCTGTGTAAATTGCAAATATACTAAAAAATATTACATTGTAATTAATGATAATAGAAATAATCTTATATCAAAGAACAGATGATACATTCACATAAATATTATGGATATCAATATTAATATTTTTAATATTATTAATAAATTAATATTATTAATATTATTAATAAAAATACATAATAAAATAATATAATAAGAATTAAAAGATACAGATATAAAAATAGTAGCGAGTAATACTGATAGCAAGATTAAGATAAAAATAATCTTCTGATAATTTTATAGTATCATATGTTATTAAATGAAATAATTATCTTCTTACAAATCTGCAATGAATTATGATAAAGGCCTAAATCATATCAAAAGTATATTTTCAATTTTTAAATTTCTTCTATTTTCTAATTATTTTCCGTAATATAAAACTTAATTTATGTTAAATTTTATGTCACATAACATTTATTTATTTATATCATTAATATCAAAACAATTATTAAAAAGTATGATTCAGGCCTTGACATGAACTCACCTTACCCAATCAGCAGTTCCCGCCATGTTTCCAACTTTATCCATGTTTACATTGAGAAAACTAATATGAACCATCAGATCAGTTCTTATAGCTGTCGCCGCAATAATCCTACCTCTTTCATCTAGAGTCACGTCTCCCAGAAGCTCATTGAAATTCATGGCATGACCCAATGTAGGACTCACTTTTACTGTATTTATCTTTTCTATAATTTCTTCTGTGGAATCTTTTGCAATTTTAGCACTATCAAAATCCCATATATCCAACAAACTAAGCAAAAGGCAGCCCTTAGGTAAACTCTCAATTACGCTGCAATATATATTACTATCAACATGAACGGCAGGTTCAAATGTTTGATTAACTTTAGAATCAAGATCATCTTCGAAAAAATCGTCTTCCAAGAAAGAAATTTGTCTCTTACTTCTATACATAGCACCAGTAATAACAGGAATTCTGTAAATAAAATTTTCTTTGAATATATATACATATATATATATATATATATATATAAGAATTTTCTTTTTTTTAACTAATGTAAAATTTTATATGTAATATCCAACTAATTTTTTTTATTAACACTTTTATAACTTATGCTTACTTCATACAGACATCTGTCCAAGAAATATTCTCGACTGGTGTCTGAACAGAAGTCATTTGTTTAGTGATCTCATTTAACTGTAACAGATGATTAAAAAAATATACTGTGTTACTGAAAGCTCATAATTAATCACATGACAATTGAAAAGAAATTGAGGACAAATTAAGAAATAAATTGAAAAAAATCACAATTAAAATAAATGAAATATATTTTACTATATATGTATATATATATAGTTACCCTAATAAGCGTTTGCTGTTCTAAGACATTATCACTAGTTAGAATAAATGACTGAATTCGCAGGGTTTCCAGGTAATGCGACATTAGCCACTTAGTGGTTGTTACAAAGTCAGAATCCGGTGGGACCCAAAGCTTGATGGGATTCTTTTCCTGCCGGAAACGTAACAGGCCGAGGATACAAATTAATACTACCACGGAGCATGCGAGCATCCACTTGTACGGATTTTGGGCGATGTGCACTCCAAGCCTGCACAAAGCAACAGCGATTCGCTCCATTATTAAACTGCTCGGCACTTGCCGGTTTATGCTGACGATTCCGACGAGGCCCTCCCCAAAAAAAGAGGACTTACCGATAAAAGAAATGCTCTACCGTCCTGGATATGCGTTCCGGTAGGCTGTGGCAAAATCCGCGGCACGACTGTCTTCTGGCACGAGCCTCGTGCAACTCCATCGTCTCTTTGGTCATGATGAATGTGTAAAACGAAAAATCACAGCGCGTCACCCTATCTACAGTCGACCCGCATTCAAACCTCTCGCTCGCACTAAAAGGACATGGCACTGTAGAGCAGCGACTGGACTGGATGACTAATCGCGATTAATTAATGTTATCGTGCGTTTCGTGCCGCCGCATCACGAGTCTCGTATACGTAACCGCGACGACTCTCGGCCAGCCACTTCCAAGGTAACATCAGAACGGGAGCACTATAACCCCCAAATGGCGCGGTGGGGCGCTCTACGGCATGAGCTTGCGTATAATCATGATAAATAATAAAAACCGTTCGATAATACGCCGAGCGCGAGCACGTGCGCGCTCATTGCAGATGCACGATCGCCGCGGGATAGCTTGAAATATTCAACAATAGCATTGTTATTCACGACACGACGAGAATATTACGTCTGTCTGATTACGTCTACTACAGATGACTACAGACTACATCAGCATGTGCGTCTGCGCGATTAGTCGATTAAAGACAGAGGTGCGCAACAAAAACTGGCGTAACAAGCTGCTGATTTAAAAGCAACCGCGTTTGTACGTAATCTAATGTATGTATAAATGATTCCTTTCTGCGTATTACTTGCGTTACCTTGGCAATTAAATCGTATAATATGTTGCTTGATCTTAACAAATTATTCTGTTTGTTAGCTTTGACGTCAGTCGCAAAGTTTCCATACAGTTTACCCAGATATAGCACGTATTCATTTCAGAAACGTTTCATAGCCGACTCTTGAAAGCGTTTCTGTTGTGAGTAGTTAAAATGTCTACTCGAAAAACATTTAAAGAAACGTTTCTTTTTGATTAAAAAAAAAAACGTAGAGAATATAATCGAAATATTATTTTTTTCTCTATCTGTAAAAAAGGTTGCATGTTCGTTCTTTTCAAACAAACTTTTTCACAGATAGAGAAAAAATGATATTTTAATTATATTTCTATACGTTTTTTTTTAACCAAAAAGAAACGTTTCTTTAAACATTTTTGAGTGGACATTTTAATCACTCAAAAATGTTTTCAAGGTAAATTCTTTCAAGGTTTTCTGGGTAAATTCTTTTTCTCGATCCTGATCTCTTGAATATGTATATTTTTAATAATTAAAATTAAAATATTGTTTACATGAGAATAATCAACATCTCTAGAAACATCTCTAGAATAATTGCGTGTGGATATTGTAAAAAACTATTACATACCGACATCCGTGTTAGCTCTCATATAGGCTTTTATTGTAATAGGTTTGAATTAAAATTAATTTTTAATTACTAAAAAGTAAAATATAATTAAAGCAAGACGTGCCGTATAAACGTTCCTCTAAAAATATGCTTGCATTTTTTTAATTAAATTTCTCTCTGCTTTGTTTTCACACTTCCTTAAAAATATTCTTGTTGAAATGCTAAAAATGACATTAGGTACTTACTAGAATTTGTGAAGAAGCAGTGAGATATATCTTACTAGTGGGAGTTGAGCACCCCTGTGCCAAAAACAATCACGTGTGCACCACGGCGCGGCGCGCACAATGGCCTGCGCATTACGTCATTTAAATCAGTTTGAATATTCGCGTCGCGTGCAGACAGAAGATGCAAAAATTCACCTTCAATATTTCGCATTTATAAGATTTATAGTTTAATTGCCTTATGAAACGTGCACGTGTTATATTATAATGCTGGAATAATCGACGGGTCATATTATAGTGCGGGAATCATCGACGTTATACACTTATACATATGCATCAAACCACCTGATTAGCATTCAGACTAATATTGAAGTCATGTATTAATCGAGGTTTCATGTAACATCGGTAAATCATTAATTTCTTTCTCGTGTTTTTTTTTATCAGACAGTAGGAATGCGCCTTCAAACTCATCTCGAGGTTACATTTCCATCCTTATTTTTTATTAGCTAAATAACGTATAGTTTTTATATAATTTTTTCTATTTTCTATAATACTTAATAATGATCTCCGATTTTTTCCCATTTTTGTATTCTTAATCAAGTTAAATTAGGTTAAATCAGGTTTAATCAGATTAATCAGATTAAATATACTTTTATTGCACTTTATTCTAAATTTCTCTTTGTTCGACCTCCATAGTTCTCTCTCAATGCATTGTACATACTTATAATTATATTATATCAAATGATCGATATAAAAATGGAACACACTTCACGATTTTGCATATCATATATATCCTCCAAGGCCATGCTAATCTTTTTTGTATTGTTCCAATTTTAATACTGCTGAAGCAAGTATGTAAATTGTTTATCGAAAATAGTTGGAAACGATTGCACGTTGAGCGTTTTTACGGTGTCATGAATATAGGTATAATATAAAATAGTAACCAGCTAGCTATAGTATCTATCTATTTGTGTAGAAAAATACTAAAGTATAAGATTTAGCAATGTATTTTGATATATGTTTCTGATATATAGGCACGTATATCTTATATGTAGAGAGAGTATCAGAGACATTAATTCTTATATTATAACAAATATATTAATTACTGTTTCCTCTATTTAAATGACTTTTTATTTACGATTATCTTGTAGATTTTTATATATGATTTTGTATTTTATATGTCTTTTCTTGAAATATAATTTATATTATTATATTATTGACTATACTTAATATAAGTTATATATCAAGAAAATTTATTATATCATAGATATAAATTATATATCAAAGTAAATCTTTAAGAATAATTTTACTGAAAAAAGAAAGAGAGTGTTATAATTTGTTTTTAATGTTGTTTTCTAATATAAATTTTGTTAAAATGTCTAATGTATAATTTATTTCTAATATAAATATATTAATGAGAGAGTCAACTCCAATAACCTTGATCTTGACATAAGTATATATTATCAAGATCACACCCCTTTAAAAGATTTTAACAGTCGTTTATTCTTCATTAAAAAGTTAATAACAAAAAAGTTTGAGAAATATCTCAGTTATCATATCAGTGCGTCAAAGGAAATAATTTGCTTATATGAGTATGTAGATACGTGTGAGAGATTCCACTTCTCCTTCGCTCGCGTATTCATTTAAATATGCAAATATGCAAAGAATACGATTTATAATAAGTAAAACTCATATTATGTAAAATATAATACACACCAGTATTGTAAAAATTAAGTACATACCAACATCCGTGTTAGCTACCTTCCATATACAGGCTTTTACTGTACTATATTTGATATTCTCGGGAGCTTATTTAAAATTATTCAAATTATGTAATTAAACACATTTTTATATTATTAACTTTATTAATAAATAAAGTTAATAATATAAAATGTGTTTAATTCTAAACTTTTTAATAAATAACGATGACCAATTGAAAACTTTTGAAAGTTGTTCAGAGTCAAGATATTGACAACATATATCAAGTGCAAGATGATTTGCTAACTTGAGGATGTGCTAACTCCTTTCAAGGATTTACCTTAATTTTTGTTATTTTTTCTATAATAATTATAATCTTCTATATGTTTTTTCTTATTATATAAGATAATTTTATATTAATTTTATTTTTAAAATTGATAAAATTTAATACAAATTAATTATCAAATGTTGATAACGTATTTTTATATTTTCTAAATCTTATGTAGTAAAATCTCAAAAATTTTAATGAACCATGGAATAATCTTTAATTTTTTTGGAAATTTTAATTTAAAAGTATATGTCACATATTAAGACATCCGTTCCTCGCATTCTTCACTTTCATTTTGTAATTAAAATACATACATTTCCTGTGATAGCAAGCACAAGTTTCAAGAGATAATATTTGTAACAAAACTATTATTTAAGCATTAATCACTATATTTATATTATACAATATGTTCTTAGAAATGTACTAATATCGCTTTTTTTTTACAAAGAATTGAAAACAACACATCGAAGTTAAATTCTAACTACTCACTGTTGAATAAGATCGGTTAAGCACTGTTGGAATCTGTAGAAAATAACTGATTTCTAACACTAACTGGTACAACATATCAAGCAACGCGGAAACATCGCAATGCCAAATGTATAAAAAGAGCGACAGACTGCGCATATGTCATATGACGTCGCGAAGCATCGCGACGCCAAGTATATAAAAAGAGCGAGTGATTGTGTGATTACTGCGCAAATATCGTAGCTCCCAATAGCCTATCCGGAATTCTTTTCAAACAAATTTTTGATCAAAATATCTCATAAACTAAAACAGTAATAAAAAAATTTAACGATACTTTTTTTATATATCAATACAGATTTTTGAATGTATTGATCGTACAGCCATGTTTGACTAATTGTATTATATTATATTATTTTTTTTTTAAACAGTAAATATTTTAATAGATTTTTTACAGAGAAGTTTTTTTGAGTTTTTTTTAAATATTAATTTAAATAATTTTATCTATTTTTGAACAGTTAATTTTTGATAATTACATTTAAACCATTTAAACGTTTCGTTAAGAAAATGTTTTTGATTTCAAAAAGAATATAACGTTCGATACTTATTCTTAAATTCTTATGTACTTGTCGTATAACATATTTTCTTTTTTTAAATTCTTTTAAGTTCTTTTTTAAGGTTTATACTGTTGCCTTGAGGTTGTTATCTTTAGGAAAAGAATAAAAAAATATTACAAAAAAACTCTACAAATGACTTTGAATTAGAAATCACAGAGACAAAGGCAGGTTTTATACTCTCGCGCAATAGTTAATCGAATACTGGAATACACCTTAATTTTTTATTAATACTAATTTACACTTTATTTTCGAGAATAATCTATACGAGATTGAAACGTATATCTTTTTTATAATATATCTATAAATAAAATTGAAGTCTTTTAAAATTAATTTTTTAAAGATATATTCTATTGTACTTGTAGTATAAATGCGATAAACACGAAAATATTAGAAAAAATTAAAAATGTATACTTCTTTTACATGGAGTTTTCTTTGCAGTGGAGTTGGAATAAAACTTGTACTATTTTGCTCGGTTTATTAATGCAATTATTACTTAACTATTATTTAAGAAAGATCTAATGCTCTGTTAAGCTTTAAGAAATAATATTCTATTAAAGATGAAAAGGATACATTTGAACACAATTGCATATATTTGCATATACTTTTCTTGCTATTATCTCTGGCAATAATTACGCACCTAATAATTGAGATTAGTCTTATATATTTTTTTACTGTATTTTTGCATCATAAGGAATATGATTCAATTTATGATTCAATTGTTTTTCTCGTAACTCAAGATTATGCAGAAATGCAAAAAGTTTTACTAATGTCTTTTCTCGGTAAGAAACGGTACAAAGTATAGCAATTCTATTTTAAAACAATGATTCTGATGATATCAGTATCATAACAACAGTTTATTCATATGAAAGAACAAATTAATATTATATGAGAGTCTGTTAAATTATTTTTATTGAACAAAAATTAAAAACGAAAATTAATTTCGGGAAATAAATTTCTGCGATAACATTTTGTTATCTTAATAAGTAAATAATATGTAACGAAATAATAATGTATAAACATTATTACATTTTTTTAAATGTTTGAATTTAAAAGAAATTTTAAACTTTAATTAAGATAAATATTGTATTTTACACATGCTTGTAAGTTATAATTTATAAGTATACTTTAATATTATATAAATTAAAAACTATTTATTCTTAATATATATTTAATAATAAAGTTGTTTAAAAAAATATCTTGCTAATTTTATTTCAAAATCTGTTCTTTAAAATTTCATATATCCGTTGTCCTACGAAAATTATATATAGGAAACAACAAAACAGGATTAACAGAGCTAATTTAACATAATTAAAACAGTATAATAATAATAAATGTTAATTTGTGTTTAATTATTCATATTTATGCGATACTGTATATTTCAATACAATCGAGATTAGCAATTATATGACACTTGGCACAAGTCTCGAATTTGTCTTGAATGCTAGGCATACACAAAACTATACATAATGTCATATAAATCTTAAATTTTAGGTCTCTTAAATGTAATTATCTAGTAAAACAGAGCTAATATCCGATTTTTTATAATGACTAATAAAAGGAAAAGTGATTCTTTTAAGTCAAAATAACCGAATTTTTTTTTTTAAGTAGATTAATGATAAAATATTGTAATAAATATACATCGGAAATTTAAAACAAACACAAAATATTGCAAAATGTTAATAGTTCAGAATGAATATCGGAATGCTTTATCATCGCGGCTTGCAGAATACAATAGAAAAATGTATATCGTCATCAAAAAGGTCATATGCAGTGTCAAAGGTTAAAAATTGCGTAACAGAGGATGTTTCTCTTGAATTCTTCATAAGATTCTCAATCTAATTATATTTAATACTGTATTAAATCGGCGTCAGAGATTGGATTTCAGTCAGTTTTTAATGTAAACTGTGTTAAGAAATCTAAAAATAACTCTTTAATAATATAAGATATGAAATTTCTGCTATAGCAATCAAATTCGTTATACCGTTGTAAGTGTTTATTATATTATAAAACAATATCGATTAAAATATAATAAAAGTTATCTGTCAATATCCGACAGAAAGAGTTTACGTAAAACCATAATATTTCATCGATTGCCATTTGTCATTAAACTCTAAAATATGTTAAACGTATTATCAATTAATTCGTTAAACAAAACACGAAAGACCAATTCTCAATTCAATAACTAATTCGTGAACATTCAGGATCTAATAAAGAAAAGTTTCAAAACAACTTATTCAACTCACCGGTTTGTCTGTCCAAAATGTCGCTTGTCACGCAAATCACTAATAGGAATAAATAAATTACAGAAGAGAATAGATTACCTATAGGTGATATGCAAAAGATTCTTTTCCAATTGGTTAATCTGTGAGTCGGTTATTTAATCGCTGTTTCATATCCACGGATTAATGACGTGACTTTGCATTTTCTTTTGCAAAAAGATTTGTCACTGATTATTTAAGCCACTTTCTGGTAATTTATACTTTTTCTTTATTATTTTTTATTATTTTTGTTTAAATTTTTATCAGTTGATTCGTTGATCCATTCGAATACCTATTATAGTTTTTATTACTCGTGAATCAAGGATTAATTTTTTGTGTGTGTAGAAAAGAGAAGCTCTGTCTATCAAAGTGTCTCATATCTCTTGTGCATATCTTCTCCTTAATCCAGATGCTTATTTGTACGATTTTTTTTGGTTAAATCTGTCCTGGTGCAAAATAGACTTTGAAAAATATATTATTGTACAACAATAATTTTCCTCTATTATAGTCTCTCTTCTCTTTTACCTTCTTTTATGGGACCATAATAATGAAATAAAATTAACATATTCTTATATTAATTTTGTAATATATTAATGTTATAATATATTAATAAATTCTACGCATTCTTAGTATTTTGAATTGAAGGTTGGTAATATTTTCCATTAGGTTTCTTAATGCTTTCTGGGTTTGTTAAGCGTCAATGATTTCCCGATGATTTTAATTCAGTTCAACAATAGATGATTGATAATCACCAATAAAATGCATACAATAGATATTAATTATAGTCATCAATCTAACTGTATAGAGTTGCATGAATCGACATTCAACTGAAACGGCATAAAAACTATAAAAGGAAGGACAGTCTCGAAGTCGAGACCGGTGAACACTCCGTATGTGAATCATGTCTGGATGGCCGTCTCTAATTGGTCATGCAAAAAATTAATGTAATTCTAATGGGATTCAAAGTCCAACGGCTTTTTAAACTCTTGTATTTAAGGTGATTTTATCGCGCAAGTCTCAGTCAAAAGTTAGTCCCTCCATATGACTAATAATTCAATAAAAACATTTCGCATAAATTGTACGTACGCGATTATGTGACAACGCCACACTATATCGAGTTGGCATTGAGTGATAAAACTACCTTAATGTGATATTCTGTCACGTCACGGCTGAATGACGACTATCCGTGTGCATATGTTCAATGTGCAGTTATACGTGAAAAATGAAAAGTATTTATTGCTGAAAAAACATTGGAAGATCCATCGTGGTAGAAAGCTAAGGAAGCGAGTAAAAGTTGTTGGTAGGTTTACTGGAAAAGGAATTGAGGGGTGAAGGGGTAGAAAGTCGGAAGAAGGAATTAGTGACGATGGCGAAGATACATCGCCAAACAGAGTAATAAATCGCGCGACAAGAAAAAATGCGGGAAATGGTACAATTAATGACGATAATTGAACGGTTTGACAACTAATGGTTTTCTTCGCGGATAAAGCGTGGCCCACGTGCTCGCTCATTATATTCCGTGCACAAGAGAACGGAGCGTACGATACTCGAATCTTCCTCGCGAAAATTGACTTCAAATAGTACTGAAACTACTGAAAGGGGGAAATAAGAAAATGAAACATAAGAGAGAGAGAGAGAGAG